TTCTCACAGGCCCACCTCTGCAGCATGTATCCATTGCATGCAAGTTCCATAAGTTTAAGTCATAGAGCGATGCGGGTTTCTTATTTTTTTCATCAGATAATAGGGGTTTACAGACACATCAGGCATCCGCGCTCACCCTAGAAGAGTCACATTCTGAATTCTGACAGGGCAAGAATCATGAGGTAAAAGGACTTGTTAAATTTGTTAATCTAACAGTACTGGTGGAGGAGGATTCAGTTATTAATGTATTATTAATATATGCTAATATAATTAGCAGCTGGATCCTTAGAATGAAGGAATGAAGAATGGAAAATAAATTCCTCTTGGGAACGAAGCAAAAAAGAGAAATGTTTGCTAGACACATTTACCTTGCACTGCAGTGAACTTTCTTCATTTGAAAAACAATTTCTAGGGAAAACTGTTGAGGGTGAGAAGTCAGACCAAGCACAGCCGTCAGGCCCAGAGCTGCTGGGAAAACAAGCCCACCTCTCTATCTTGATTTATCTGAGAAACTGGTGAGAATATATTAAAAAATAAGAAAAGGAGAGACGTGTTTCCTCTCTCTAACTAACAGCTTGTCTGATGGCAAGTGCTACCACCTTGCAGGAACCTTCCTGAGAAACAGGAAGAACAAATACAATTGCAGAATGCAATTGTATAAACAAAGTGGCTGGGGGAAAAAACCAAAACAAAACAAAAAAAGGAAAGAGGAAGGACAAATTCAAATCCTAATTCTTACAAAACCAAGCCAGATTTCAAATTCAAAAGTGTCCTTTAAAACTGGTCACACAACTGAGAACACAGACTTGCCTTTCAGAAGTTCTCAGGCAAAGGTCAGCTTACCCCACGTGACAGCTAACCACGAGTGGTGGGCTGCACGGTGGCCTTTCTATCTGTCCTGGGAACCAAAGCCTTCCTGTAATATGAAAGGCTTCAGCAAGACCTGGACCCCCCAGACCTTCCTTCCAGCACCAGATGTCTCATGGCACAAGCCAGGTTCCAGCTGGGCGAGCTCTCCTGCAGACCCCTCTCCATGCACGGGGAGCCTGCGACACCAGGAACCCCGTCGAGAGGGGCTACGGCGTCGGATTCCTGGGGAAAAGATGTGGCCACAGAGCCCTGAGCTGAAACTATACGGACACGGTCGCAGATGAACTTTGCTAAGGAGGTTTTGGTGGCACTAGAGGCCGCTGTCAGCCTGGGTGAAGGGAGACAACCCAGCAGTGGGCTCCAGCCAACAGGACCCCACCAGTCCCCACCGCCTGCTCGCACCAAGTGGAAACCAAAAGGATGTTAGTTTTGCACTGGGAAGAACAGGGAGGACAGGAGATACCATAGGCACAGCATCCACGGGCTGGTAATTCACCCTTAGGAGAACCAGTGCTGTTTTGAGTTCAGCTGGACAAACACACACGCAGCGTGAGACAATTTGACGCTGGCAGGAGATCGTCAGAACGGCCAAGCAGCAACGCTCCCAAAATTCCCATGAAAAAAAGAAAAAGAAATTGCTTGGCAAAAATCTTGCCTGTGGAAGATGGCCTGTTTCCAGCATCTCAGCACCAGCACGCCGCAGCGCTGCGGCGGAACGACGGGAGGCTGAACGTGCAGCTGGGTACACGAACACTCGCGCGGCACCAGCTTGGCTCAACGTCCCAGACATATGGCTCCGACACCTCCAAACTGATTTCTCCTGCACCGCTGCCTTTTCTGGTGGTTTTGTTTTGTTTTGTTTTTGTTTTTTAATTCCCCTTTGTAAGGATGTGAGGCGTGATTCACACTATTTTTCAGCTACTGGAGCATTTGCTCATCAATTTAGGTAGCAACCAAGCAGCAGGTGAAACACCACAGATGAAACACTCCTGTGGGCCAGGGTTAAGGCTTGTTGGCCACCAAAGAGGACTCCAGAGCACAATGCTAGTTGTTCCTGCCCAGACCTTGCAGTCTCTTCTGCTTTAACCTTTCAGCTTCACACAGATAATTTAAGGCCACCAGTTAGGAGACATCCCTGTGATCTAATATTAGATGATAAGCTTGTTTATGTTTGTGTTGCTAAGAGAAAGCTGGAGCTTTGGAAACACTGAAGCAGAGCAAATGCTACTGCAACAGCTGCCGGTGGGAACTGAAATCCATACAGTGCTTCCCTGACAACTGTTTGCCGTTTTCCTTTTTTATTTTATTTTACTGGATTGGTCCCCTTCCAAAATAAGCTTTTCCCATTTAGGTGACCTCTCCTATTTCTCTAGGTCCATGTTTCCTAGTTCAAAACGTGCAGGCAGTTCCCCAGTCAGCCTATCCTGCTGTAGAACATACATTCATAAATAAGGGTTTTTTCCACCCACAAGCACAATGCATCATTGCTGGGCTTTTTTCCCCTCTCAGTAGTTCCAAAGCATCAATTAAAGGTGGGAGGAATTTTCTGGTGTTTCTCTTTCCATTATCGTAATTCATAAGAGACAGTTCTCTAATAAAAACGCAGGAGACTTAAACAGATCTTCTATGTTATTTATAGAAACTAATTCGGCAATAAATGCCAACGCGGCAATATTAACAGCTGCTCTTTTGGGCATCTACGAGTACTATCACAGTCAAGTTCCCTGTCTGCAGACAGTGTCAGAAGTCTGGTGGGCTTTGTGGAGCCCACTTCTCCAGGGGAAAAAACCTGAAAGCTTCTGCGACTTGATTGTGGGCTTGCCAAAACGGAGATGCTGTTGTGAAAGGGTCTGGAAGCGCGAGCTGAAGGCAGGATACTCGCTCTGCCCTCTTGCGCACAACCTCCCTCTGCGCTGGGAGTATCTTTTGGCAGCTCATCCCAGTTCAATTGCAAACGACCCCAAGCCAAGTGACCCCTAGCAAAATGACACGGAGCACACAGAGACACTTCTAACATTAAACCTAAGTGTTCTTACAAAGATACTCTGCAGTAGCTATTCCCAATCGTGTCCCTGAACACAGAGCTGATGCACGTGGCTCATCCAGAACGCCTGCAATACCTTCAAAGCACTCCCTGTGCTAGCTCTGGGAAAAAAAAAAAGAAAAAAAGCCTGAACAGCACTAAAAGTGGGAGTATTTTCCAAATAGCACAGGCCACCTTCTTTGGTGGACGTGCTGCAGCCGAAGCAGAGGAGCCCGCAGCACGCGTGCCCTCCCTCCGTGGGACAGACAGTGTGGCTGACTGGGGATTACATGGCCCTGCTGAGCTCCACCGCCTTCGCCTTCGCACGCTGACCCTTTCCATTATTGCTTGGCACATCCTTTGGCTTCAGGCCATTTAAAATATGCCAGAGCACTATCTCCGCTCAGGACAGTTGGTATTTTAAGAAGCTGTTATTTTAGTTTGGAAGAATCTAACTCCTGAAAACAACTCCAGGAACTGGCTGCTAGTTAGAAATACACAGTTCATCGCTGCATTCCATTATTACCGTTTACTTTTGTCGATGCCAGCAGAAGAGACAGATTTTGCAGAAGTTAACCAGTTTGCAGGAATAAATAGGGATCATTTGATATTCTGTACTGAAATGCACGATAAATTTCCTTTGAAAAGAGCACCGGCTCCCCCAGGTTTCTATTTCCCCAGTCTTAAAATAACCTCACATGATAAGAAAGAGATACCACCAGCTAGATTCAGAGTAACTGAAAATGCTGCCACTGCTGGAACAGCCTCGGCTGCACATGGCAGACTTCCACCTCTGCGCCAAGCCTTCCTTCCGAGCCAGCCGACAGAAACGCGTGCTGCTAGAGCGCGGCCCGTCTCCCCTGCGTCGCACATCCACCCGCTCCAGGAACGTTTGTTTCCCCGCCACCAACCGCAGAGGAATCCAAGGGACTCGTGCAGCACAGCAGCCTCCATCGGGGCACACGGACACTGAGCCGAGCAGAATCAGAGGGACGGATTTTGTCTGAATGCGTCTCAGTCCAACGCTCTTTTTAGGATGGGATTATGTTACAGAACCTACCGCAAGCGGCTACCAGGCTGTCTGTCCCTCTGTACACAGAGGCCTTAGGGACTGAGATCAGGAGCTGAGATGACTACTGAAGAAAAAGGCTGAGAGGCTGAAAGGACAAGTAGAAAATTTTGAAACTAAATTTAACCTACAAGCCAACGATGACTCAGTTCAAAACCTTCAGATGGAGCAGGGGCGGCCACCTGTAACTCCACGAAGCACCTAAGAAACAGTTCTTACACCCCCACCATCACCACCACGTGAGACCTGCCCACAGAGGGGGACCACGCGCACCAGCACTCTGCTCACTGACCTTCTGCGCTCCCTGGCTTCCTCAGCTGAGAAGTCCTTTCCTGTAGTTGAGGCAGCACCGGCATTCGCAATACCGTTAGCAGAGCCGAGTACAGCACGATTTGTGATTACACCTAGAGGGGTGCTAGCAGAGATGCCCTCTGTACTTTTCTCTACAGCAGAATCAGTTTGTTGCCTGAAAGGGGCTCTGAAATAGAGAAGACATAATGGAAAGCAAAGCAAGTGAACTCAACCGCTGACCGAGACCAGCCACCTCGAGGGAGCACCGACAGTTCATCCTCCTCGTTCTAGACTCGTGTTTTTGTAGAGAACAGCACATATTAAAAATGAGTCTTTAAAAACTTGGAGCAGAATAAGCAGGAGGAATTCATAGTCTTCACACCCGTTTGCAGCAAAAATGGATTAGAAAATGTGCCTGGTGAATAAGCAGAAGGAACGAACTCTGAGAGCTTGTACACTGAATGCCCAAGAGCACCTGGGCACCACATCGTGTCTCTAAGGGCAGCAGAGGGCACAGCTGACCACTCCAGTGGGTGAAGAAGCTAAGGTCATGTCTGGGCTGTTAGCTGCCTGCTGGTGCATACACACTACTGAAACTGTCCAACGTAACCATTCTGGGGTTTCTTAACAGCGCTTCCCGCGCGGAAGCATGTTTCCAATCCATAAGCCACTCCAGAATTCAGAACTTCCAACCCAAAGGCCGATTTTGCTGCAGCGTTATCTCCGCTGTGAGCCGTTACCTGGTATACTGGCGGGCTGACGCAGCAGAGTTCGCACCGAGAGGTGTGGGCCAGGAAGAGGCAGGTTGCCACGGGGTGCCCAGGGAGGTAGATGACCCAGTGGTAGTGGGTGAGGTAGCTAGAGATGTATTGCGACTGGATGAAATGTAGGGACTGCTGAGGTCACTACTTCTACCAAAGGAAGCACTGTAAAACATCACAAAATCACGGCCTTCAGAGCACAGTCAATATCCAACAGAACATCTCCCCAGCTGGGCGCTCAGCTGGAAAGGGAGCAAACATTTCATCTTAGCAAAACGTACGCAGGGAGACGAGAGCACAGCGTATGAGCTCATACGTCACAGGCCGCTCGCGCGGGCCAGCGCCAGCAGCACCCCTCGTAGCTGAGCCCAGCTGAGCTTCCAGGAGAGAACAATGGCGTGGAGGTGAATCGGTGAAGATCAGGGAAGGGAAAAGCCCTACGGCAGTGCAAGCGGCGCACGCAGAGCACCCCTGTGTGCTGGGGAAAGGTAAAACGATGAGCAAGGATGAGGTGGCTTAAAGCAGGGAGGGAGAGTGTGACTTAAGCCGGTCTGGCTGCATCAGCTCCTACGGATGCCCAGGACTTCCAGTTTGAAGAACTTGTTTTCAGTGGCTTAAAGCTTTGGCAAAGATGATCAGTTCAGGCTTTCATTTTCTCTAAGGCATGTTTGGCACAAACTCTGTATTTCTGGAAAATAGCTAGCAAAACTGTCCAAAAAAACACTGAAGAATGAGCAAGGGAAATACATATTTCGCCAGCTTAAAACAAAACACTTAAAACCATTATTATGGAAAAGCTTTAAGTGTTGAAGTGCTCAGACTTTGGAGAAGAGAAGGAAGAAACGTTCTCATATGAGGGTGCACCCTTTCCCTTTTTCAGAGAAAATCCACCCTAAGTGGGAGGAGTAGCAGAGCTCTAAAAGCAAACTTGCTGAAATCTGGCAAAATCTCCTTATTGCACGTGCCAGAGCCCCACGTAGAGGCTGCTCGTTGTCCGCACAGAGCAAACGAGCATGCATGCATGATCCAGGAACCTTCCACGCCTTTCCCAGCAACTGGTATTCCTGGTTGCTACTGGTTAGACTGGGCTGTCTGCAGGATCAAAGGCTAGGAAGGCTGGAAGGCTGCCTCTCACCTCCTGCATGTCAATGACTCCCAGTGCACACAGAGGAAAGTGGTTGCACCAGGAGTAAAAGCTGACCTAGAGGAAAAGCAAACTGGGACAAAGAGCTGCAGGTTTATGGGAATGCCAGGAATGAGGGCCTGGAACTGGAAGTCAACACTAGAGCAAGAGTCAGAGAGAACGGCCCGAGGCTGAAATAAAACTTGAAAGGGGCAGGACAACAGCCAGGGACAGGAGGTCGGAGGAAGGATCCCGTCCAACTCGCTCAGGCACCCAATTTCCAAATGGGTTTTATACGCCAAGGCCCCCAGCCAGCCCAGAACAAGCAGCTGGTCCCTGGACCAGCCAAAGGAGAGACTGGGGCGTCCTGGAAGGCCTCCACGGGGAGGAACCTCACATTTGGGCTCTTTGGTTGATGGCTGTTTGCCACATCCAGGTCACAAAGGAACAAGCGAGTTATTGTCACCAGGTAGCAACCTCCACCGGGCTCCAAACAAAGCTTCCTCTGGAAAGCTGGCCCCTGCCCGGAGCACAGGGGAGCAGGAAATTCTGTTGGAAGCAAGTGCCTCCCTTCTTGGCTCTCGGCACCGGAGGAAAAGGCCAAGCCCTGGAGATGGGCTGGGAGGAGGGTGAGAGCAGGAGCTAGCCTGGCTGGTGTGGGTGTGCAGAGCAAGCAGCCGTGATGGTGCAGGAATGAGTGCACTGAGGAGATGATGGCAGTGGAGCATGTGCCAGGGGAGGGAACAAGAGGAGCAGCGGGGGAAAAGGTGGTGGCAACCCTGGGGAGAGCAGGGTTGATGGGACACCATCCTAGGAGAGACCAAGGCAGAGAGGTTGGGGCACGAGGGGCAGCTGCAAAAAAAGAGAAGGAACTTGGTCAGGCAGGGAGGACACGGAGGGTTATTAAGTAGGACTGTCTTTCAGAAGGGAGAGGCAATGGGTGAAAAGGGGAGACAAGAGGATGGAAGCAGCACCGGGTGCCTGGCAGAGCAGAGATGTGGGGGAGCTGCGAGGGGAAGGAGGAGGAGGAGGAGGAATGAAGGAAAAGAGCACTGGCGATGGTGCTGTGCCAACTCCTCCACGCACACACCCCGGGTCGGAGAAACAGGGTGCTGGGGCATCACGCACACCCTCCTGCTCACAAGAATGGAGCCAAGGTATTGCCAACGCCACAGGAATTCACCTCCCCACCCCGTCACCTTGCACGGGTGGCACTGCACAGTCTGAGGAGGACTCTAAGGCATTTAGTCAATTATTCACATTTGATCTGAACAGGACCAGAAAACGGCAAGGAAAAGGTTAGCCAGGGAATCTTGTTAATTAACAGCTGCATTCATACAAATCTGTAAAAGGGAGGATTATGAATTTATGCTAAAGAATCCAACACTAGAAATTAAAAAAAAGGCAGTGACACACTGCTACTCGTTCTCTAATGTAATCACCATAACACAGCCATCAGGGAATGAGCAATGGAATGGAAAGCAACATTACAAATCAATAAAAAAATACTTCTGAAAACAGTTAAGGCAAGTAGAATTCAAAAACCTTCAAAACCTTAAAAAGCTTCCACATATGCTAATAAAAAAAAGGTTTGCACAAAACGCATAACTATTTTTTTTTAAACACAGTGCCATAGGGTATTGCAGAGATCAAACCAGGATTTGCTTATGGAAGTTGGCCACAGTGGTGGCTATTAAGAACAACGGTTATGTAGAACCCCTGGCTCCCGAATTCCTGATTGCTGGAAGCAGGGAGTGTGGGAGGTGGAAGGCTGCCCCTAAGTTATACTCGCTTCTGCAACTTGTCCTTCAAAACCAGATGCTGTCGGAAACAGCACAGACTGCACGGACTGTTGGCCTGACTCGCTGTGATGGTTTTTATGTGAACCAAACCAGTAAGAAGGTACGTAGCAAAAACGTAAAACGAAGGAGAAGCTGTGTGAAACAGTGATTTCATCCTGGGGCGTGTGATCCCTTCCTGTGAGGCACCACTCACGGCTGATGTCAAAGGAAGGACGCTGAATTAATTGGATTTGCTATGCCAGTTTTCCTCTAAATCCTTTAACACACAGGCAAAGTGAACTGGCTTTTGAAGGCCAATATGCACTAAAACAGAGAACAGGCTGCCAAAACAGGGTTCCGTGAATTTTTGGGCTACTGAGGCACCCATGGAGAAAGCAGAATGAATGACAGCCACTATCGTTACAGAGAGAGCTTTAACACTTGCTTCAACTAAAGCTGAAGAACATTTGCAAACTAACTGCAAGTTAGTTTGTTCCCTTCTAGAAGAAAAGCCATCTTCAGCATCTTAAGATGATCTGTTGCTGCTGTTTACTCTTGTTTGGGGGCATATAAAGCACTCGTAGAACACAACTAGGTGTCTTTACAGAGATCAGTTAAACACTAAGGTAACAGGGAAACGCAGATGCACAGAAGTCTTCCTCATCCAAGTAGGTCATGTTCACTTTAATTCTTCCTCTCTCAGAATGAACTTTTATCTTTAGGAGTTTGTGTTCAGAGTTTTGTTAATGCTTGGCAATGACAAAGAGCTTATCCTGAACAGGCAACCAGGTTGTCTTCCTCATCTTAAAGGCTGATGCACAAGGCTGGAGAAATCGGAGGTTCAATAGGAGTATATTTAATTTCTCTGTGCTCTCCTATAGAAAACCGTATGGGATAGAGGTCAAATTGATCATGATTTTACTGTTTGTACATCAAATGCAAAACAATTGATCTCTTTAAAAAAAGTACACTTTATTCCTACCTGGCAAAGCTGTTCTCTGCAATTGCTTGAAAACCAGCCCTCTCCTATGACAGGGCAGAAGTCAGCCTTTGCGACAAGAAATCGGTACTGGCGAAATACCGCTGCCAGCCAAAACCTTCGCTACTCTGCACAGTCTGGCCAAGGAAATACAGTACAACTCTGTGAGTGTAACACTAAATCTGGTTCTGGATTAGCTGAGATAAATAGGCAACGTTTGTAAAATTTCAGCATACAGCCACGTGAGTGACCGGACTGGCTCTCAGACCAGGGGGCAGTAAGGCATGCCAGCTGTAAGAGGTGAAATTTTTCCAATGTAATCAGCTGCGGCTTGTCGGGCTGCTGTTAGAGAGAGACAAGTCATGGAGGTTGGCCTGTCATCATGTCCCAGGATAGATGTGAAGTCACTGGAAAGGATCAGCAGATCAGGAGAAGACTACTGCTTGAAGTGGCGATCTCTTTCACCTTTTGTGGAAATGGGTCTGTATGTGCCCAGCAATTGGACAGACACATCCTCCAGCACAACTCACCACTGTCAGCATTAAGTACACAAAAAAAATCCGCCTCTTCCCAAATATCTCGAGCAATTGGTCCATCTTCAGGACAGTTATTTAGTTCAGGGTCTAGAATTTGGTGAAACACAATCTAAAACCTTGGAATATTTCTGCCCTTTTCCCTAAGCGCAGCTCAAACGGCTCTGCAGTGACATGTTCACACCTGCCGTTCCAACGTTTCCAGCATTAGCTAAAATGAAGGTGAGGTGATGGCACCGCACTTGCACGAAGGGCTGAGCCTCCCTCCCTCAACTGAGATGCAAACTCAGCAATGTATTATTTGCCGTAGCAGAGCAGGGCATTCATTCATCTCCCTCAGCCAGCCATTATCCAGTACTGCCAGCAAACTGCCTTCCAAAGGGGAGAGAGACACTGCCGATTAAGAAGTTTGCTTTCCTGCTTCTGCCTGGCTAGTTTACCAACAATCAGCCTCTACAATTTCACACACACTGTGCAGAAACTGCTTCCTTACTGCCACGAGCAAACGGCTGGAGACATCAGTCTTACTCCTTAGCAAGTGCTGTAAGTCATGCACAAGAACACTGTGACTTTTCTGATAATGATGCCATAAATGCAGACTAATACAAACCAAAATTAGAGATAAGCTACAACTTACCTGTCAATAGCTATCTGAACAACGCTTTCAGACTGTAATTACCTTTATTCTCTTTTTATGATCAATTCTCATTTTATTATCTAACCATAATACTAGCATAAATCCCAGAAAACACTTTGCATTTGAATTATGTGAACAAGAGTATTTAAATTCAGTTCAGCAATTTACAAACCAACAAAAATGATGGCCTTTAAAAACACTATTTAGCATGACAAACAGCAGCAAATCTTGACTTTTATTTCCTGCTCTCAGCAGAAGAGGGTCCCAAGGCCAGCTACCCCGACGCAGTAAGCAGCAAGCAGGAGGCTGAGGTTTGGAGGCACGTTAAGAGCAGAACTGACTGCCTGGGAAGCCAGGTACGACGGAATCGGACGTACCTTTTCAAGTAGGTAGATACATAGGTAGTAGGTGCACCGGAGTGGGGAGCTTCGTTTCCCTTCGATTCGTCCCTCCACGGCTGTCGGGTGTAGGAGCCGCTGCGCACGAGGTTAACAGCTGATTCTCTAATGCAGGCGAGAGCACAAGGTTTGTTTAGAAAAACTTTTGGGGTCTGCTTTTGGCTCCTTTACAGTTCCACAACACAAATCCTTCCCTTGCACTTATACACACCATTGTCCACAGGTGACAACTCACTGAAACACCTCTTCTGGCCTTAACATCAGTTTCTGATTTTGCCAGCTGTATTACTGAAGAATCATCAGATGATGTAATGTTTTGCATAAAGAGGAACACGGTCCTTTTCGGCCAGAAAACTTGCAATTTACATTTACACCATCCATAAAAGTAATTGAACACATTAAATAACATCATTTGATATTCTCTCTGCCGTCTTGTATCAAACAACGTCACATAAACGGACAGATAGTGCAACTGCAGGGGAATTTTTTACCCTCTGAGGTATCCAGGCAATGACAGTAAAGTGATTCAGTGTGGCAAATCCTTTGCTACACTCAGCAGCAGAAAGCAACAAATGAAATGTGGCAGTATCTAAAACTACTTGACAAGTTATCAATGAATTACTAGTAGCCCTGTTGATCATAGTCATCTGAAATCAGGGCTCCTTTTCCTAACACACACTTTGGCAGTATGTACGATTCTTTTCTGCTCTTGAACTGGACCCCAAGCTTGTAATGCAAAACAAATCCATTCACTCGTCAGCCTGCAATTATTTTTCATTTTTCAATCGCCGTGTCCATGCTGCTGCCCTTTCAGACACCTGTGGGTTCCGTGAAGTGAAACACAGCTGTTCCGAAAGGAAAGAATTTTGGGAAAAGTCTGTACTACACAGTACGGCTGGGCACCATCTGTTCCCGCAGGCCACTTCTCCTCATTCCCTGCTTTACCAAGCAAAGGATGCTTATGGCAGTCAGCTGGATATGCCACTCGGCAGGAGCCAGTGCCAAGGCGCTCGAGCTTATCAGCAGGCACGAACTGTCTGCTCAACTCCGAATCCCAGTGACTGGCCGAGATGAGGCAAGAACGCAGCAGGGAGGTTCCAGCTAGAGATCAGCAAGGAATCTCAAACTGTGCTGAAATTCTCTCAGGGTGGTCATCTGCCATGACTTCTCCACAACAATTACAGTTCACAACAGCTCCTCTGCACGTGCCTTTCCACCACGATTGTGGATGTGGCTGGGAATGAGGCTAAACTCAAATTTTACTCCTTCTGGCACAAACTGAAGAACTTCGCAGAGATTAGCTCCTCAAATATATATTGAGATACTAGATATTTATCCTGTTTATACTGTGGTTCTGTCCAGGGACACCTAGACACATTCACCATAAAAACAGTCGCTGCAACGGAAACAGTTCCGTACACGAGAGTCCACAAAGTCAAGTGAATCCAAAACGTGCGAACGAAGGGACTGAAGGGGACTCTTGAGCAACTGACAGAAGCACAAGTGCAGGTGCCAGCTACAAAATGAGGCACTTACATATAAAAAGGAAAAAGTATGCATAAATCTAGTTTCCTGGATGGAGACCATAGATGTAGGAGTACAGAGGTGGAGAAACCAGCCTGTAGCTTTGCTCACCTAAATGAAAAGCAACGTACCAGAACTTTTATAGATCTAAGACAGCTCTCAATATTGTGAATTCCCGTGTACTTGGAACTGCTGAGAAAACAGATGAAGCATCAATATAGAAAAAAAGGGTATTCTGGAGGAACTCTCGACAGGACAGAAGGTGAGCATTAAGTTCAGTTGGTCTCACCTGTTCTCTTTTTCTTCTATACTGCTCGTACTGCTTAGTCTTCTGGGGGCTATCGTGGCAAGATAGCTCTTGTTGTCCTTATCCTGGTGAAGCAAAAGAAGTGTTTCAACTGCACATCTTTCACACTTCCAGGATGTTCAGTGACAACTAAATTCACGTTCAAATTTCTTCAACTACGAAAACATTCTCCTGCCTAAAGACAACCAGTTTAAGGCATTTCCTTGGGCAACACATACCACGGCATAAAAGTACCAGTTCTGAAAAGCATGCTGGGGAATAAAAGCAGCTTCTAACTAGAACTACTTATAAACCAGAGAATCATAGAATAGTTTGGGTTGGAAGGACCTTTACAGGTCACCTAGTCCAATCTCCCTGCAAAAAGCAGAGATGTCTTCAACTAGATCAGGTTGCTCCAAGCCCCATTCAACCTGGTCGTGTTTCCACGGATGGGGCATCTACTCATGGGCAGTAAAGTTACAGCTAGTGAATACGTGGGATGGGATTCATAAATACAGCTGGTGAATACAGGAGGAATCCATAGAGGTGACAGTGAAGGACAATTTCCACTGCAGGTATGTGCTACTGTTTGGATTAGACAATTTCTGGTGAAGAACGGGCCATGCCAGACCGGCAGCCCTTGTTCTCTGGCAGCCCACTCCAAACCGAGGAGGAATTAGGTCAAAGGGGCACTGAACTCCAATTCTGCAAGAACAACTGATAGGAGAGGAATAATTTTCAAAATAAAATAAATAAAAAAAAAGGAATGAAAGAGATCTAAGTTAGTTATGGACACAAAACCCAGCGATAACTCAAAACGAAAGGGAAAGGGCCTTAAACCTGCGAGGTACAGTCTGCTCAACCAGGACACCCCAAAACATCTTTGCTGAAAGCCAAACCTTTTCTTTGTTGTCTAACAACGCGGATATCCGAGGACTCGACGAAGAACGGTAGAGAGAAGTCTTGTCCCTCTGCGCCTCCTGAGTAGCAGCGACTTCACTCAACGTGTTGTGGCTGCCAGTCTTCCGCAGCCCCAGCCGCCACGACGAAGGGGACTCATCCTTCTGCTCGTCCGACTTGCTGAGCCAACTGAACTGAAGAGGAGAAAAAGGGACATGTGGAAGAAGTAAGAGCACTGCGAGGCACAATCTAAGTTCTGAAAGTGTTCCAACAAGACCAATTTTTGCTGGGCTACACTTGTAAACGTAAGACAGAATGACTTTGATTTCCTGCTTAGCTTTAATTACAGGACGTAGCTCAAGGTGAGCTCACAGGGATGCAAACGGCTGGAGTGCCTTCATCCCCAAGGACAGACAATGAAAGAAATGTCGTGTCATTGTGCCTTTGCCTACCCAATGCCCTCCTCCAGCTTTGTGGAAAGAATATAAGGAACAATGAAGCTTTTATTAGCACCTCTTTAGGAAGAGAGAATTCCTCAATAAAGGCAGAAAACCAAAAAAAAAAGTAACCAACTCTTTTGGGACTAGCTACAAATAAAACCCTTACACAGATCAAACTGGAGATAGTGCAGGTGAAGCCATTAAGATCATCAGGGAGCTGGAGCACACGACATGTAAAGGGAGAGACTGAGGAAACCTGGCTTGTTTAGCACAAAAAGAGAAGGCAAAGGAAGGATTTAATTGCTCTCCTACTTGAGGGGTGAGGTTTACAGAGGATATGGGAACCAGACTTCTCAACAATCTACAGTGAAATGAGAAGGAGGAACGGACACAAGTTCCTACAAGGAAAATCCCAACTGACACGAAGGAAGACACACCTTCTGGTAGGAAAGATGCTGCGCTGGGACAAGGAGCAAGACAGTGGGGCATCTCCATCCTCAGGGACTTTTCAATACTCAGCTGAGCTGAGCTAGTTCAAAGAAACATGACATAAGCTTGAAGTTGGCCCTGATTCGACCAAGAGGTTGGGCTACAGGCTTGCAGAGGCCCCTTCTAGCTTAAACCTTTCCATTGTCAGGTAACCACATCTTCTATACATACTACAGAATGGATCTTCCTGCTTTTTGTTACATGAGGCACCTCTGACAAGCATATATTATTCCTCAAATACACATCAGCTTAAATGTACAACTTTAGTTATGGTTATCAAGTCTTACAAAAAGATGCCTACTGCCACTCAAGAATGGAGCCTGGGCACTGCAAGAGATACTTCTGCAAAGACAAGGCTCAACACTGACTTGTATAGGAAATAAAGCAAACAAAACATCAGGAATTACTGGAAAAGAATAGAATATGAAACACAACACCATTGTGTCTCTGTGCCACTTACTGCAGGGTACAATCGCGCCTTTGACATCACACAGAGCTCAGCTCAAAAGCAGTAGAGAAGAAGGGGAAGAGATTCAGAGAAAAGCAACAAGAATGAGTAGAGCAAGAGAGCTTCTGCATGAGGAGTTATTCAGGGTATCAGGAGTCTCCAGGCTGAGGTATGACCAAGGTACACAAAATGCTCAGTGGCACACTGAAGGGTAAACAAGGATCAATTATTCCCTGTTCCTTCCCATACAGGAACTAGGGGCAGCAAACAAAACCAGGCTGTGGCAGGCTTAAAGAAACAGGTGCTGGAAGCTCTGTATAATATGTAATTAAGTTGAAGAACCCTTTGCCACTGGGCGTTATAGGGTCCCAAACATCACAGGCACTCAAAAAGTGACTGCATAAATTCATAAAGGAAAAGTCTAACAGGGGGTACGAACACAAAAAATAGCACAAGTTCAGCAAGTCCTTGAAATGCAAATTGGTAGAAGGTGGGAGAGAAGTCCAGCTAGATTCTGTCTTCTCCAGTATCTTTTGATGGTCATTGTCAAGGGCAGGATACCGGGGTAACAAGGCTTTTGGCCAAAGCTGATATAAGCGTTATTATACCATATTCTACACAACACAAAACATTTGGCATTATCCAGAATAAATGAAGCTACTGAGGAGCTCTGCCCTCAAACTCAGCGACTCAAGACTGCAAAGGTAAAGTTCTCACTGCAGTATTTTAGCAGGGTTCCTTAGCTGATGTTATTTTAATGCAGATGCACAGTTAATCTCCTGTACTCCGCTAATTCTAGTGCTTCCAGCCTACTGAACTGCACAGCTCTAACGCTCTGATGTAATTTTGACACTTTCCTCAGAGAAAGCTCAAATCCACAGTAAAAGCTGCTTTCTGTGATTTCTGAACAAATAGGAACAGCAAATATTAATAACTCCACAAACGGAGGGCAACAGGTATTTTCCCATATAAAACCCAATCTGACAGAGAGTTACAAAAGAATCAAACGTGAGAGAAGGTAAAGAAGCCAGTCTTCAGTGATTGAGGTCAAATTAATGACTGCTTTGCACACAGGCCCTCTTCTATACCCCAACTGCCTTATTCTGGGTTAAACAGCTCAAATGAGTGAGAACAACACTCTGCAGCTGGGAAATGGTTAACTGAAGTGCTCACGCTTCCCAGTATCCTTCTGCCTTTACCAGTTCCCCTGCTAAGTCAGCCTCAGCTGAACAACACCCAGAGGAGCTCCATTTCTTTTGATCAAGATGAGAAGCTAGACCTAGTAGCATGTCAAAAATAAAAAATTGTGACTAAGCAAGAAACATTTTCCCTTTAACATGTACCTAGGGCTTCAGAATTTGGCAAGGTGCCTGCATTGTATAGCTGTCCTCCATATTCTGGTGTAAAAAAGAAACCAAAAGCCTAAGATACCAGTTCTCAGCAGAACGCAGAGTCTCCTGGTGCCATCTAGCTGAGTGACGTGAGAGCTGGAGAATTCAGATAACATTTCAGTAACTACTTCACCTTCAAAAAGCTTTCACAGCCTAGCTATCTAGTCAGATGCAAACTTTATCCTCTCTGCTCCCTGGGCCGTAACATCTCGCCATTGAATCAACTGAGTTTGGCAAGTCGGAGGCGCTTTGGAC